TCCTAAATTTTCTTTACATGCTATAGGGTGTGCTAACTTTATTTTGCAGGACGATCTTTCCGGCCACTCAAGGCATAGATTAAGGAATCAAACTTAACAAAATTCTAGGATAGTTTGATATCAACTATTCTTTGAATAGGAAAGATTGACATTATTTTCCTTAACATTATTGTTGACCTCGCTTTCGGTCGAGATGTAGTTTTCCCCTCCTTAGTAGCCTAGGATCTAGTCGTAGGACCTTACTGTCGATCCTACTGTCGACTACTCCTAAAAAAATAGTGAAGGAGCCCTCCTCCTTAGCAATCATGGACTTTTCTTCACTCGACTTGACGTTCCATGTAGTAGTCTTGACCGCAATTTCTTAGCAGGTAAGGGTACTCCGAAGGAACTCATGGAGCATTCCTATAGGACTGACGGTCTTAGGATTGACTCTACTCGTTGATTTGGTACCGCTGCGCTCTTCGTCGTCCTGTTTAATAGAATTCAAGCCGAAATTTTCATAGGATTCGGACCGCGACGCGTTTTTAGCCCGATCGACGATGAGGTTGCCCGGACGACTCCGGATGACGAAACGGACTACGCTGATGCATCCGGAACGTCGATTTTGCTTAGGGTGGACGTTTGTTTCATTGCGACGGCGCGTCTTGGGGAAAATACCTATTTAAGTGTTAATTATAATAATAAATAAAATTTTATTATTATTATTATTAACTTATTTTAAAAAAACTTTAACCTAAATCCATCTCCCTCCCCGCCTCATTCCTTCGAACCCGTGTGCCTGCCTTAACCCTAGGATGGCTCGTTCGGTCGTCCGGCCCGCTCCTTCATGTCGTTGGGGGTGTTTCGTTCCCGCGTTCGTCTCTCGCAAGCGAAACAAATCTTGCAGACGTCCATCCCTCGTATCCTATCTTCTGCGATATGGGTTTGATCTTCTCTGTCGCGGATCGTATCCTCTGCGAGGATCTAATTCTCTGCATCTCTCGATCCCTCTGCCGTATCTTCTTAATCATTCGTCTTCTCTGCCCTTAATGTATATGAGAGCTCCTCTGTGAAGCTTCTAAGAGGCCGAAAATCTTTCTAAGGGGAAAAAAAAAAACTCTACTATTTTTCTTTCTCACTCACTTCTTTGATCTTCTGGTGCTTGAATCGGTTTCCTCCTGCTGTCCTACTGTTGGGAGAGGAAGTGAAGTTGTGGAGTGCTTTTAAATTTTCTGTGTTACTTTCTTTTTGCTTCAAAGAGGTACCTTCTTCCCTCTCCCCCTGTGCGTTGTCTGTGCTCGGCCCTGCTCTTTACCGAGCCCTTGCGCTTTATTTGTGCTCGTCCATGTTCTCTGTCGAGCCCTGCTAGCATGCTAGAATAGGAAGATTACTATTTGCCTCATTCCTGAACATGTTCTAACTTATTCTTTATACATTTGTTATGTGGGAATGATATTTAAAAGCTTGAGGGTGTGTATTTCCTTCTCCCTCCCTTTCTCTGTGCTTTACTGGCTCTTGGTTTTAACCTTGCCGAGCCTCTGATGATGATTTCAGGGTATGGTTTAGCACTCTAGTTGCCACTATGCTTGTTGTATTTGAAATGTTTATCACTTAAAGCATGTGAAAGATGAGAAAATACACATATATTCTAGGCATATATGCTAGAAGATAGAGGTGGCATGCTATTAGTCCTTTCTTTTACTTTGCTTATCTAAAGTGTTGAAGTCATGGCATGTTTTCCTATCTCCCAAGGCATACTTATATTGGAAGTAATTAAGAGAATGGTTTTGAAATAATTGGCCCTTCTCATGAGCATGTTAATATATGTATTTCGAAGCTTTCATCCACTTTCACTCAAAGCATGTGGTAGTTCTATTTTGAGATGACTTAAAAGCATGAGAATATTGCTCTAATTTTTATTAAGGCTTAGTGTTGGAGGTCTCAATTGCAGCTTGGTTTTCAACCCTTGCTGGGTTCGGGTTTTGGTCTTGCTTGGCTCGGTTTGGTTTTTGACTAGTCTGGAATTTGATGAAAAACTTTGGTTGGCTCGGTTTTACCTTAAGATAGCTGGGATTTTAATTTCTGTTAAGGCTTGGGTTTTAATCTATGCTTGGACTCTGTTTTGGCTTTGAATGGTCGATTTTAGCTTTCCTTGGAACTCGGATTTACTTACTTTGGCTCTTACTCGAGAGCTGGTTTGGTGGCTGGGCTCGGTTTTGCTTATTTAACCTCGTTTTGGCCTTGAATGGCTCGTTTTTTTTGTTTGGTTCCTCCTACACGAAGTAGCTTGGGTGTTGATTGATGAGTCAAGTTTAAATGTATGTCTTTGCCCTATCTATAAAGTGAGGTGATTGAAGAATGGGTTGAACAATTTCCTTATGTCCTACTTGGTGAAATTGGAGTCGGTTTGGAGGCTTTGTGAGGGTTTGTCCATTCACTCTCCTATGTATATCAAATATCTTCATATAATCGATTTCGGTTGCCTTAGCTGTGAGCCTCCTCTCCTTTTGGCCTCGGGTTTGCTTTGGTCGTGAGCCCCTTTTGGCCTTGGGTTGCCTTAGCCGTGAGCCTCCTCTCATTTTGGCCTCGGGTTTGCCTTGGTCGAGAGCCTCTTTTGACCTTGGGTTGCCTTAGCCGTGGGCCTCCTCTTTGCCTTGGCTGTGAGTCACCTATGGGAGTTTATTCGGGACTGGAGCTAGAGGGTGCTGATATTGGCTTTTACCCGTGAATTTTCTTGGCTTTACCTCACTTAAGCCGTAGATCTTACACCTCAGTGCATTAAAAAAATTTTGTGTTTGTTTGAGGTGTGAGATCATGGATTAATTTGGGAAGTTGGAAGATTTTGATATCAACTTGGGGTTTGGGAGGATTTGCAAGTCTTATTTGGGAGAGCATTTGGTTGATTTGATCAATCCTACGTCTTTGGGGTTTGAAAAATCAGCGCAAAGTAGTCTTTTATTTTGTTAGGAAAGACCTTGGGCCCTACTTTTTCAGGTCTTTTTGATAAGAGTTTTGAGAACTGATCCATTCTCCTTTTCGGTGTTTTAGATGAATCAGTGTCTCCTCTCTCTCACCCAATTTTTGTTTTTTTCTTTCCTTGCTTCTTGGTTCATTTTTTTTTTACGTTTATGTCCGATGCATAAGGGTCCACGTATAGCCTTTTGCTATACTTGAAACCATCAAGCAATGTCGCAAGTAGTCGTTTTGGGGCGTACGGCGGTGATGATAAAGGCACACCGAAGATATAGCGGAAAGATGTCTTATCCTATAACATCAAGATCCAGGTATTTGATGAATAATATGATAATGGTATCCTTCACCGACATAAGTCTAGCGAGAGTTGGCTCGAACTTCCCTAAGTGGTTGGCAGTCTCATGCCCGACAGCGTAATCGACTTGTGGACAATAAAAATTGTTAAAACTTATTTCAAAAAGAATAAAAATATATTTTTTCGCTATAAAATAAAATTTGATAATCTCTCTTTTGAGACCAATGTGCATGTCAAAAACATAAATTTTAAAAATACGTTTTAAAATTGATTGTTCACCTGACGAATATCTGTTTAGGCTGGGAAGTAGCACTCTATGTGAGGTTCAAGACACACTTCTAGACGTTCTATGCATTTGGGTGGCCGAGTAGCCTTCGTGGACCCTCGAGTACATATATATATATACATCTGAGTCTAGCCCTACACGAGTGCTTGCGGTCCCCCTTTGCCTGAACTTTTTGTTTTGTCGAAGCTTTGGACATAGCACTCGTGCTTCTTTTCTTTTCTTTGAGATTTTTCCGAAATTTTGAGGATTTTTAGTTGAGTCTTTTCTCGTTGATTTTTTTAAGTTTTTGTTCATGTGTCATTGTTACACTCTTCTTCGGGTTTCCTGGATGACGTTTCTTCCAGACTTCACTTGTCCTGTACTGCACATTTTATATTGTATAGTCTTAAGCATGTCTTCTTTCCATATAGGATGTTCAGAGGACTATTACCAAAGGATCGTTTAATTTGACATCATAACTGGACACTCTAGAAAACTTAAACTCGTCACGACAACGAGTTTGGAACCAGCGCGGTGGGCAGAACGACCATCTTCAACAGCAGAACATGTCTTCCACAGCTAAACCATTCATTTCCTAGACATTAAAATAACAATCCGTAGGATTTCGAGGTTGTTCTCAAAATTAAAATAACAATCCGTAGGATTTCGAGGTTGTTCGCCTAGCGCAACATAAATCCTTAACTTTTTCATTAGGTATTCGTATGGCTCCGATGTACGATCTAAATCCTAACTTGTTTTAGGATTCTGAGGTTGTCGTTCGTTACGACCTAAATCCCCACATCTTCCAGGCTATTTGTGTGATCGTTTCACACGAATGTAAGCCCTAATTAAATAAAATTGGCAGGATAAAACACTTAAATATTTTTCCTCGAAACTGAAACCAAACCATAGGGTAAACTGGGAAACTACCGAGGATCTCTTCTGGATCTATGGCATCCCCTAGTTCTTCTTCCTTCGGATTTTGTAATAAATGTTTCAAGTTTGAACTATTCCCTTTTG